AATTGTATCAAAGGAACCTGGAGATTACAATTGCAGACTCCTTTGTTTGCCCGCAATTGCGTGATGTTTTAATTTTTTAACTCCCACCGTCAGCTTTTGGGATATTTTGTGTGGTTTTTGTCTTAGAATTTCATAGGAGAAAAAATAATTGGAAAAGCAATTAATTAAATCAGCCATTAAACGCTTTTTCGAGGTTCTGTCCGCCAATCAAAAACCAAGCTAGTTGTACTAAGCGTAACATAAAAGAAGATAAAAAAGAATATTGTGAAGTAAACATTTTGTTTTTTTTGCACAGGTGTGTCATTAATATGGAAACCACCTAAGGTCTATTGTTTCAAATAAACGATCAGTCTCCGGGCGCTCCGCCTTTTGGCTTGGCTAAATTTGTGTATTTCATTTAAGTTTTCAGACTTTAAAATTACCTTTAAAAATACCCAGTGAAGGCAAAGCGAAACCAACAACGAACGTTCTTCAAACAGCATTAAGAATAGATCGTTTCTACATAACGTGACGACGGTCATATTGGTGTACAAAACAATGAAAGGGCGGCCATGTTGGTTTTCCAAAAAAGTCCTGTGAGATTGAATTCTTTTCTCAACGTTTAAATTTCCGTGTACTAGCGTGATAACTTTTCCCAAAACCTTACTTTTAGAAGATTTCATTGATACCTACGCTTCCGTTGCATTTTTAAGCAGCACTAGCTATCGCCGGCACTCTCCCTGTTTACTAACATACAATCCTGCACTTCGCAAAGGCTTTCGACTCCGTTGAGCACAACATCCTTCTCGCCAAGCTGAGAGCATACGGTGTCCGGACAATTTTTATCCTGGTTCAAGAACTACCTGAGTGTTGTGAACTATCAAGAACTACCATCAACCACGACACGGGTCCAACGTGTTGTGTTTGATGGCGCATCCTCGCAATGGGCCCCTGTTACGTCTGGTGTTCAGCAGGGAAGTCTTCTTGGACCACTACTCTTTACAATTTTCTTTAATGATCTCCCGAATGCGTCCGAAGGAATCGTTACGACTGCTCTCTACGTAGATGACACAAAAATATTGAACTGCATAGGTTCGGAAGAAGATTGCAAGACATTACAGACCACACTTTCAAAGATGGAACATTGGAGTAAAGAAAACAACTTTTGCTTCAATGCGTCCCAATGCAAAACACTAAGCGTTGTGAGAAAGAAGAAGCCCTTGTGTTACAGTTACAACCTTGATGGCGTACAGCTTGAGCAAGTTATAGAGGGAAAAGATCTCTGAGTCACCATCACTAACTCAATCTCTTGGGACACCAAGAGAGGGTTCTATACTCTGGTACCAAGCCATCGGTTCTTGTCGACAGTGAAGCGTCAGGTGAATTTGAAGTCAATACAGGTGTCCTGCGAGGAGACAACTAAGCTTCCTTCCTATTTGTCGCTGTTTTGGACTGGGTACTCCGCAAATGTGAAAATAAAGAACTAGGCTTCACTATGGTCCCCCTGGCGATCACGGCGACATCCTGCGGAGGAGATCAGCGAACTTGACCTTGACCGATGACATCGTGGAACTGGAAGAATCCTTAGAAAAAGCCCAAAGTCCATTGGACTTGCTCTGCCTGACGGCCGAGGAAGTCGGTCTATGCATTGACACTACAAAGACTACTTGTAGTATTCCACACTCAAGGTAGATGGAGAAGATATCGAGAACGTCGAAGATTTTCAATTTCTCGGTTCGTACATTGTGTCGACCGGGGAACACTTGCCTGAAAGGGAAAACATGAAGTGCGGTTTGGAAATTGGATCGTGTTTGGAAGTCTCCTGCATCACTCCAACAAAAGTTTCAACTTTTCAAAGCGTCAGCTTTAACTGTGCTTCTATATGGCTGTGAGTATTGGGTCCTAACATCTGACCTCTGTCGTCAACTTGATTTCTTCCAAACTTCTTGTATTAGAATCATACTTGGCTTTTTTCGTACGTACCATGTTAGCAACGAGGAAGTCTATGATAGAACGGGAACAGTCCCCTTTTTCCAATCAGTTTAAGCCAGACAGATAAGATTCCTGGGCCAATTTTCTTCGGCGCCCCTAGGGGGACCTTATTTCTCTAAATACAATCTGTACCACCCGACACATGGTAAACCAAGTCCTGGTGGATGTAAAATTCTACTCCACGAATATGCTGCAAAGCTAATCAATCCAGAAAATCCCTCCCTTCTTCACGAAATTCGTACTTTGGCACCGGACGGCAAAGGTTAGAAGCGCATGGAGATCGACTGTGGGAACCACTGGGAACCCCCATGAGCGCCTCAGCCGAGCAGAGAGAGACATCCATAACATTGTCGCTAAGACAAACAAGCTCCTAGGACTTCTGAAGAGGACCTACCCTCTCATAACGGACGTCAATGTGAGGCGGACACTCTACCTGTCTCTGGGGAAGTCCCTGTTGAGCTACGCGACTCAAGAGTGGTCCCCAAACCAGTATTCGTTGAAGGCGAATAACGAGCATGTTCAAAGGCGAGCCGCGTAATGGATTCTTCAGACCAGGGTGGACGAAATGTCGTATTAGGAAAGACTTGTCACGCTGAACCTGCTGCCTCTTGCTTTCGACAAAGAACTTAAGGATCCATTCTTTTCTCCAAATGCCTTTTTGACTTTGATGACATCAATGTCCTAGAACATACGTCTTTTATTTCTCACGTTCGTGCAAGACAAATTAATTCTTTCAATCTTAAAACTTCTCTTTGCTGAACCAGAGCTTTCAAGGCCTCCTATTTTAATCGTATTACTAACTTATCAAATTTTATCTGTTCGCTTAGGTCCCCTAGTAGTTTCTCTAGTCCGCAATCTTTTAAGCAGTTTGTTTACAAAATTATGTTCACCACTCTAGTACTAGTTATTATTTCTTAATCATATGTCTGCTTGTTAATTTATGATTGCAGTTTTGCCCCAATAGAGCGTCAAAAAACGTTCTTGGGACAGTGATGTCATATTCGTAATCCTCTATGCGCTCATGTAAGAGTGATATTTTTTTGCCCAAAACCTTGCATTTTAAACCCTCTCAACTGTCCTTCCCTTCCCCCGCACATTATACAACGATGAAACTTGGGAAAAATTCTGGATACACGCGTCAAAAGTTTTCCGTGGGATGGGGGCGGGGTTGGACAAGTGTAACTTAAAAAAGCCTCCAAAATGCAAATTTTTCCTAAGACTTCTGTCCATGACTGTACCTCACACGGGAAGGGAGGGCTACAGGGTAGTGGGCCAGCCTGCTAGTCAGCGGACTGGATCGGACATTCCAAGGTCATTGTGCTCTATCTACACGCTATCCAGGCAAATGTATAACAAGTCACTACCACATCCTAGGTCACCACTAATTTATTTAGCTTTAGCTTATTAGACCAGTTTCTCCTTAGTAGAACTTTCTTGATGAATACACAGTTCACTATCTTATATACTTCCTTATTTTTACCTAAAATGCATCTTGTTGATAGCTTAAAAAGTGGTACAATTCTTTCCTGGATACAATGAGAAAATAAGTACTAATTGTGGCTCAGTGTAAAATGTTAATTTAAAAAGATCATGTTCATTAGGTAGATTAGCATTTTCAAAATTGACATATTTGCCAACTTTTCGACCAAATGGCTACAAGTAATTTAGTGCGTGCCAACCATGCAAAATTCTAGACTATACAATAAGCTAGATCATACCAAGCACACCTAATTGAAAAACCTGCAGTAATCTGATGAAACCTTTCAAAAAACAAAACAATTTTTTGTGCTCAAGGATAAAAGGGATAAGAAATACTGGTTTCCTCCTTCAGGGGTTTACATTTCAGATTTTGGTATCACCTAAAATCATATGACTCATTTTATACCGGTATTATTTAGGCTATTGCGTGAAGATGAAATAGAAAGTAGAAGAGGAAAATGAGAAAGAGAGGAAAGGAAAAAAAGGCAAGGACTTACTTTACTTTTCCCACCCCACCACCCCCGCACATCTGGGAAAAAAACGTGATCCATTTCCGATATAGCGAGTGCTTCGGGAGGAATCCGGGGACATTCACCTCAAACATACTTTCACCTATTTTTACTGTCAAAAGTCTAACCGTTTTTTTTCTGTCGTAAATTAGTCACAACCCACGCCAGAAATCGACCTATCGACAGATCGACCTACCGGTATTTCGTTTAAAATATTATCGCAAAACAAACAATAACAAAACTTTGGTTCCACTTTTTGTCGTCATGATCTCTGTACCTACTCTTTTTCTTTAAATCTTTGTATCGTAGTAGTCTATTTGCTGGATAACTTCATATAGATAAAAAATAACCAAGCGAGTCAAATAAAAATAGGAGTATGTCATTTTATAAGAACAACATTTGACTTCACGCCATTATCACATTACTAAACGGCTACAAATAATAAACTCACCACCATGCAAAAATGCACATCTGTTAAAAGAATAATTTGATCGCATAAAACCTTCAAAACTGAAGGAGCTATGCTCTAGGGCAACTGCTTCCATTTAATCCAAGCACACTTTACTTTGATGACTTTTCTATAATAGCTGGCGTTAAAATGAACAGTTAGTCTTCTAAAAACGCCTTAAATTTTAAAGTTTTGACGAGTAGCTTCTGAATCACTTTTGAGTTTTGTCTTCTTTCTATGACTCCTAAAAATGACCAGTACAGTCGACTCTCTCTTAACGGACACCTCTTGTCAAACGGAAACCTAAAGTTAGTCCCTGCCTTTCGTTACTCTCTATTTTCGACTCTGCATAAGACTTACACTCAGTGCCCGATCTTAAGCTGTCCGCGTTAGAGAGAGTTAGCTGTTTTGAAAACAGGGAAAATTAGCAATATTCCTACCCAGCCTTATGCACCCAGTTCGTAAAATAACTTGATAGCTAATTTCAGGGTACTATTATTGATCGACGTTCTTAAAAACCCATTGGGTCCTAGAAGGCCTAAACAACTACCTCGCTCTAGTAGCGTTCCATGCCATTTTTACCATGTGTGATCTCATGTCTCCGACACAGATGACTCAGAGAGCTTGTGATGAACATTTCCTATATACGTCACGTAGACGTATTTTCCTCTTTCTTCAGGGATGACAAATTTCATCTTCACGTTGCACTCTTCACGCTTGCATTCCCCAGTTCCTCTGAAGAATGGTGCTGAATGCATTTTACGGGAGTTCTCTGTGCGCACGTGGTTGTTTGTGAAGCGTACACTGCACCAACGATTGCTCTTTCTTACTCCACGCTTAAATATAGTGGTCCAGGCACCACCCAACAAACGGCCTCCTCTTGGGAACTCGTTGATATCCATGAGTTCCCAATCCTTTCTAGTCAGCTTGAATTTTTTTATCTCACCATTGATGTCAACACGGAGGAAACGCTCATCTAAGTCGGTGTCGTTACGGGCGTTGTCCTATCACAGCAGGAAAAAGGAAACTTGGTCAAACATGAGAAGCCATAAGAACGGAAGAGATCCCGCTAATGACATACGGCGGTTGGTAATGCAAAGTCACGCTTTAACAACACCACGCGGCTTCATAGGTTTGTGACCAGAAAGGAATTATCAGATTGTCATCATCCCTTCAAATAAATAAAAATAGTCCCAGAGCTTGAAGTAGTTAATATACGAAGGAAGAAAACAGAATACGTAAGGCTTGAACCCTCATCGCTTCATTTACAATCCACATTTTCTCTCTTTTCTCAAAATATTCTCTAAATAAATGGTTGTCTATCAGGTTTGTTACGTCGTGTGATACTCACGATGCGTTCAACCTGATTTTGGGGTACCTTTTCTAGTCATTGCCCTTCATGCAGCTTCAATCGGCTTACTGAACTGGTGCAGAAAGGTTTAGTACGAGTATTCAGGCCCATAGCTAGTAGCTATCTATTGGTATCAGTTAAACGCTGTCATATCCATCTAAGTACATGGCGGGTAGAGTAGGGGCTGCTCAGAAAATAGGGCGTGCGCCAAACCGAGTTACAACCCTTATCTCCTTGTTATACTCAAATATAAATACTCTCAAATCGATCGGCCTTTGGTTGCGTGTATTCGAGATACGTTGGAAAACACTTGCGAAATACCTAAACGGCACTTTTTTTTATTACAGTCTTATTAACACCCCTCCAGCCTGAAAGACAGATCCCCTTTGGAGTATAACATCCCTGTACAGTTGTGATGCACATCGATGGGAAGGTACACACGAGATTATCGCTCGGCACAAATTTCCAGTTCTTCAGTCATTTAATTTTTTCACTCCTTTCACCGCTCTCTTACAAGCAAATACATCGAAGATACTTGAGAAGCAACAATGTTTGTGCTACCGCGTCAAAAGAAAAACTAGAAAACAGAATCTGCGCGAAAAACCTCGACGCGAAGCGCAAAATTTGTGACCGACCGAACCACGCAATATGAAGTCATATGCTACCAAGATAAAGAAAATGTATTATAATTATAAACGACTGGAAAAGACACGACATAGCGGCCCCACGGGCTGTAATTACGTAATTACGCAGTTTGTTTGTTTAATTTAATGTCTATTCAACTCTACAGTCAATGATCGCTCATCATTCTTAACTTCCTCCAGTAGGCATATCTTAGTTACTTGTCGTTGAAACACGTCACCTGCTGTCTTGACACGGGCAGATCGTACTTCTCCGTCTTCACCATGAAAAATTTCTATCACCCGTTCCATGGGCCATCTATTACGCAACATGTTATCTTCTGCTATAAGTACCAGGTCCTCAATCCGCACATACTCTCATGTCCACCTCTTGTAGTAGTGATCCGCAAGGAACTGCACCTTTCTCCATCGCTTCCTGAAAAACGAATCCTCTTTTACAAATTCTCCAGGTAGAAGTTGAGTGGCTCTCTGAAGAAGAAAATAGTTGGGTTTCAGCGCTGAACAATTATCAGTATCATCTGAAACAGCTGTTATGGGGCGGTTATTAACTATGGACTCCATTTCAGCTAACAGCTACCAGGGTCCTAAGTTCAATGTCATTAAGAAGCCCATCTGTAACTGCGCTCTTTAGATGCCTCGTCGTAATCTGTATAAGACGTTCCAAAACTCCGGAAATACCCTTGATACCCCTCTGCAACTGAATCTCGACCTTTTCTACGTTCCAACGCGTAATAGACGCTTTCAACTCTCTGTTGGCTCCTACAGAATTAGTGCCCCTGTCAGACCACATCTCTTTAGGCGGTCCCCTTCCACTTATAAGTTGACGGAGAATCATAATGAAATCATTTTTTCGAGTGAAGGCGTCACTTCCAAATACATAGGGTGAGTCGTGAGACACGTGAACAAACATCCCCATCTTTTCGCGGTTCTGCGGCCCGACTTAACCGTTAGTGGTCCAAACAAGTCAAAGCTAGTAAAAGTAAATGGAGGGGGTTACGCTTCTTGCCTCGCTCTTGGTACCGACCTCATAAACTGCTCCAAGGGTTTAGCATATATTCTTCGGCACCTGATGCAGCTTCTAATTGTCCTCTTTACTAGACCTCTTCTACGAATGTTCCAGAACATTCCTTGCAGTTATCACAACGTTTGTCCTCTTCCACTATGAGCAGCAGACTCATGATAGTGACGAACAATCAACTGGGTGACTTGATAGCGCTTTGGTAGAACCATTGGGTGTTTCTCATCCTGTGAGAGTACCAGAGTTTTCTTTTATCGTCCACCTACTCGTACGACTCCACCTACAAATACTGGTCTCAGATTTGATAGCTTGCAGGATTTCTTGCCTTCCTTATTCTGCTCCGTTTCCTCCACACAGCGAAAAATAACTTGAGTTGACTGATTAAGGTCCTCTAAAAACAATAGTTCGCTAGAATGGGCAACCCGACTGACAAAATCGTACTATCCACGCTACCTGGCGTTGCAGGGTTGGCCATGAGCTGCAGCTCTCTGTGAGCCCCCTTAAACCTGCATGGCTATCTTCTGACGCATCGTTATTCTCACTGCACTCGTAGGATAACAGTCAAAACGATGTATTCCAACACTAATCAGGTGAACATTTGCTAAAATCCGCAACTTCGGGTGGCTCTCTGTAACTTTTGCGCAAGTTACTACATCTGGCCAGCAACCCCTCTGCGCCCCAAAGGAAGTCAGGCCCTCTCCACCGTTGATATTGACAAGAAAGTTTCTGAGGTTTTAAGCCACGTGATACATCACCCGCAGTGTTAACGGTTATCGCTTCACTTTTTTGCAGCCACACGGTTTGCAACGTAGGTTTGAAATCGGTTAGATTCATTATTAATATACTGCAACCTCGTCTGGGAATCCGACCAAAATGTAGCTTTGCTAATCTTGTAAGTCAGTTCATCTACAAGCACTCTGTACATCTCCACAGAAAATGTGACTGCTTGCAACTCACGCCTTGGAGTCGAAATTGGTCTCACTGGCGAACTCCTTAAACTTCCGATTAGAAAAGAACACCTAACAGTTCCACAGGCATAAACAAATCTGAGAAAGAGCACATGCAGTAACCACCTTCTGAAGCATCAAAAGATAGGTTAAGGGATATGTCGACTACTGTACTATCGATCAGGTGGTATCGCGGTACTTGAAATTGTGATAAGACAGTCAACACGCACTTCCACAGGCTTTGTAAATCTTCAGGTATCAGATCGTTCCATTCCAGACGTAGGTTCCGCAGCCTTTGCAATGTCTTCTTATAGGTATCAAATCGTCCCATTCCATATGTAGCTTCCGCAGTCTTTGCAATACCTTCTTAGCTTCTAGGACAACCTGGCAAACAAATCCCATGGGATAATACAGCGATCCGCATAGCATAGACAAAAGTTTGCTCAACTGGGCGAGTCTGTGGCACCAAAGATATGACTAGTCATCAGAAATTTCGATGACCTCTCAAGGCCACGGTCCTTCCACCAATGGAGTCTCAAAGCATCAGAGTTTTCTGGGGGTACTTTGACTTGATTGAACATTCCCTCTATGTCAGCTACTAGTGCTACTGGATATTGTCTGAACCGCAGCAAAATACCAAGCAAACTGTTAGGTAAGTCAGGACCCTGGAGCAACTGGTTGTTAGGAGAAAATCCATCGTGCAAAGAAGCGGCATCAAATACTACACGAATTTTGTCTTGCTTTTGGAGGTCAAACATACCATGATGTGGAAAATACCATGTTTTCTTTTGGCTTCGGCGTACCACCTCTTCTTCAGTCAGCTTTCTGGTATATCCTTTCTGAATGAGGTTCTCCATAAACTCTCTACACTACTGTGAAAGTTCTTATCACGCTTGCGTTTTCTCTTTAAAGACTGTAGTCTTGTTTCTGCCGTCTGCTTGTTGTTTGGCAGCCAAGGGGTATCACTCTTTCATAACATTCCAACTTGATAGTGTCCACCTACTACACGAACTGAGATTTCCACCCTTTTCAGTGCTTACTGTTCTCAATTGACATTCCTTTCTTGGAACTCCCGTTGATGTCAATGTCTTCAAGCCTCAAATATTGTTTCATCTGCTGATCTGACCGCCCATCACCATACTTTACAGAACTCACGTTCTTCGCTTGGGAGCACAAAATGTTTGCAGCATCAACTGGTCGAAGCACAGACCAACTCAGGAAAGTGCGAACAGCATACGGTTCTACTGATCCCTCTCTTCTGCGCGTTTTTCATGCACTTGGGCTTCGGGAACGTGTTCTCCAATCAGCATGGTCACCTGTTCATCATCTACGTCAGCGATTTCGAGGTCCTTAAAATGAGGCCATTTAGACAAGTCTTTTGCTCCTGTTGTTGTGATGTTAAGTTTGTCTACAACTGCTAACGTTTTCAATTACTAGGATACGATTGTCCCGGCTATCAACAGCTTTCACTTGACGGTTGGCTTGACCAACCTTAATTGAGGAATCGCCCGACAATGTGTATTCTGCCAAAGTGTCACAGTTGCTAACTTGAAAACCAAGTTATTAAAAATAGCCTTTACAGAAATGTCTCTTCACTCCCAGTGTCAAGTAGTGCTTACGCTGTAACATAACAGTGTCCCTCTTCGCTCATTATCTTAACTGGAAAAACTTGTAATGAAACCTTAGTCCTTGAGGTCGAGGAATACGTGGGACCTGGAGTTTTAACAGATGATGCTGTTACAGCATTCACACTAGCTTGCTCTCTCGGTCCTGAGCTTCCCTTTGGATTCGCCAGTGTTCCCTCTTTATCCTCTGTTGTTTTGCGCAGTAAGGAATGGTGTGGTTGTTGACAATGTTTACATTTAAAAGTTGATTGGCACTTATTAACAAAGTGTCCCTTGCGTACCCAGTTTCAACACAGTCCCTTGTACCTCAGGAAGACTATTCTCTGCCGTACAGATTTGTTTATATGCTCTACCTTGTGTGTAGACTTAATGCCATAACATTACTTTCTGCATGCTAGAATTCGGATCCTTATCTGATTTCGGTGAGTCACTACGTCCAACTTGCCCTGCCGTTGTCATTTTCTTGGTCCCAGCCACCGCATTAAGACTCGGAGGTAATGGATGTCAACTGGCTTTTGGGTTCCTTCTTGGAAATAATTGCTTCGTCTCTCCAACCCTTCCAAAGACTGGATCATTAGCTGCTTCAGCTCTCCTTTCAAAAAACTCCACTAGATCCTCAAGAGTTGGGAAAACTTTTCTTTCCCTAATTCTCAGAGCTTCGTCGTTCCACTTAATCTGTAGCACTACAGGTAGCTTCACCCACGTTTTCGCCAAATTTGACATGTTCATTTCCGAAAGAGAGTTCAGTGACTTTAAAGTCCCATAAAATGTCCTTGAGCGGTCACCAAATTTCTGCAGCTCTTGTCCATCGTTTTATGATATGTTTGGCCCATCAAATAAAGCATCAACACGTGCCTATGCCACAATATTCGCTTGTCCAAAACGTTGCTACAACATTTTTTGGGCCTTGCCCAGGCACTTCTTCAAAACCCACAACAGCACCTCTAGCTCGGCTATCAAGAAATTGTAACAAACGCGTCATTTTCTGGGCTTCTGAAATGTTCTGGGTATCAACAATTTCATCAAAACTTGATTTAAATCTGGAGTATTCACAAGAATTACCAGAGACCTTGACTACATCCAAAGAAAGGAAACTATTTTTCGTTATTGTTGAGTTTGTACTGGTTGTAAGCTTTGTCATCATAGTCCTAGTGGAAGGGGTCAGAAACGATACACTACCAGAATGAAAAAAAACTTGATTGGGCGGTAAAGCTTTATTTATAAAGGGGATTGCTACCGGATTCAGACTATGCTCTTTAACATTGGGCTCGGACATGGCTGCTCCACCTGGGGTTGAGCTAAAGAATGAAACCTATGCGGATCTGTTTTCTCGGATAGTGGTGCCTGCAATTCTGTCTCCCCATCCTTTTTCTTGGGTTTATGTTCCGCATTCTCCAGCTTTCTGTATGCTTCCATTGAATCCTTAAGTGTGGGTTTGGGTTTAATTTCTTTAAATTGCTCCACACAGTTTAGGTCTTGCACACTATTTGCTCTGCTAATAGAACCCACAAGGAAATCTTCCAGCTCCTCGTAAAACTAAACTTTGGTTTTAGTCAATTCTAAAGCATCCTCAGCTTCTGCGATTTGGTTTTCTATTTTTAATTTTCTTTCTTTTATCTCCTTGTTTTAGCCCTTTTCAATTGTTCCATCTTTTTCTCAGAAACAAAAATTCCTGTAATCTTGAATTTTTATGAGCAGCTGCAACTGACCTGGACACTAGACACTTTTGAACGGACAAAACAAATACTTCGAACATCATCCTCGCGCTCAGATAATGGTATGTTGCGTTATGTCATCATCCACCATATTATGTTCTGCCTTGGAAACATCTAAAATCCCTTCTTCAGAAGGTATGTATTGGTTTATTAAGTTAAGATATAAGTTGTAGTTTCTGTTGGATTCAGCATACCGATGCTCCTCATTTGTTCCTTCAGCACTCACGTGCAATGACTGGATCAAATCATAGTAGACACGCAAATATCGTTTCCACTGATTATCCAAGCGGGGCGAGTCTTCGCCAACTTATGGAGAATTTGTAATCTGTCAGATACTCATCATCTTTGTTAATACGCCAAGATGACCAGTTTTTGATTTGTTTAATGCAGCACTTCTTTACAAGACAACCGAATTATCAGCAACTGTATTTAACTCCCTTCTGCTTTCAACAATGTTAGTGCCACGCTTTGCTCGCTAGCTTTCTACCATCTCTGGTTTTTAAAACAACAAGTATACAAATGATATAAATGCAAATGAACCTCCAAACAGCATATATCTCTGCAAGTAACACTTGATTGAACAACGTTTTCTCACAAAATTTTGAAGAAATACGTGATGCACATCGATGAGAAGCGGGAAGCTACACATGAGATTATCGCTGAGTACAAATTTCCAGTTCTTTCCGTCATTTAATTATTTCGCTCCTTTTTCCACTCTCTTACAAGCAAATACATCGAAGATACTAAGAACTAGGAACAACAACTAACAAACTAGGAAACAATATACGCGAAAAAACTTCTACGCGAATCTCAAACTTTTATGACCAACCGAACCATACAATCTGAAGTCACGTGCAACCGAGACAACGAAAATGTTTTATATTTTAAACGGCGGGAAAAGACACGACAATAGTAATTGCTGTGTTTTAGTGATTGGCGTTCGTAATTAATACATGGTTCGGTGTCACTAGAATTCTTCTTTGTGTTCCCAATTGTGTCTAGTTGGAGTAAACCGCCTTGTTATTTCTGCTCTTCCCAATTTCCAAAAATCAAAGATGGCGGCGAGTGCGAGACCAGCAACCAGACGAAAAATTGGATTTAAAAGTTTGGTATCGGCTATGACTTCATCTTTGACGCGCGTCAAAGGTGCAGCCAAATTTAACTTATTTGCTTACTCCTTTGACCTTGGTAAATGCGAAGTGAAATACGTAACAACTTTGACTTCACCTTTGACGCGCGTCAAAAATAAACTCAAAGGTGTGGTGGCTGTACCACACTTTTATATTGTGTCAAAGGTAACAGCAAATATGTAATTGATAATTTCTACGGCTCAAACACTCATATCGAAACTGGTAAAAGAAAATCTGTAATACTGTTTTAAGGAAATTAAACAAGCAGCTTTCATCCGCCCAAAAAGTACGCCCGTATTGCAGCCTAAATTCGAATTTCGAATAGAATTGAGAGCACAACATGAAAGAAGTTCGAAGATAAAGTTTCATTCTCCAATATGACAGCAAATCTTGATTGTAACAACGATTCTTTTTTCCAAGACTACGACGGCCCGACTTTCTAAGTTTTTATCTGATATTTTTTATGGGTTGTTTTTCCTATCCCTAATAAAAAACGGTTTTAAACAGTTTTCATGTGAGTGCACCAATAATAGTAAACAACTATCCTTCGACTTTTATTGAATAGTGAGAGATTTATAACGAGATAGGAAGCATTGAGCAAGAGCAGCAAGATCTGGATGTCGTCATTAATATAGTTTAAACATATTATCGCACACATTTTTGCGTACAAATCCTGAAGTGCATTAGACTTGGCGGTACCTGGAGTCCTCTTCCGTTTTTCAGCAGACTTTCGAAAAAATCAAAGAAACGGTTCTATGCTTATAATGTAATGTAAGGCAAGGTCGCAGATGAGAAAGCAACAGAGCGTATCTCCTTTACATTTTACATGTATACGTCAACTGATTCAATGAAGGGTGCTTTGGGGATTGGGAATTGCGCACTAGGAAGCCATTCTCCATTTTCAGATGGACCGCAGTGCTAGAACCAGTTGCAAAAGTATTTGAGACACTGTACCGTATTTTGGCATAAATGGCCTGTCCATGATCTTGTGCTTGTGTTCCCCCCTCCACCCCTTATCAAAGTTGCCAGCAATACAAGACCATACTCAAAACCCGTGGGCCCCACTTTGAATGGGGGGAGGAGGGAGGTCAGTATTATATCTCACAGACCTGTGACCAGGGGCGATTTGAAGCAAGAAAGGTCGTTTTTTCGTGGGAGTGTCTCAACATTTTTGCAACTGGTTGTAGCTTGTTTACCCCCCAAAATTTTGCATAACTATTGTTTCCAATTTCTCTTGGGTAATATATAGATTTAGCCAGGGCTAAAAGCGAAGCTCCCGTTGATAAATTTATAATTTAAATCAAACAATAAACTTGTTATCCACAAATCAGTTAACTATAGGGCACATTCGTGTGACTTCTGTGGGAAAGGTTTAGTGATTTTAGAGAAAATAATTTGACAGTCCAGGAGTCAAACAAACCTATTCAGTTTTTCATCGAGTTAATAGTCTTATATTTACACCCAATAATAGCAATCATCTTCGATCTCGGTAGATAAGGCCTGGAAAACAAATTCTTCCCAAACAAAATAACCCAGTCGCCCACCTACATCACCGTTATTTTATAAGGTTAATTCATAGTCCCTCCATTCACTCCGTTGGAGAGACTATGGATGATTGGACAGCCCCGAAATATAATTTTATGCAACACAGGTTGGTCCTCGGTAGCAGCCAAGAAATTTACACGTTGCATTCCTCTGTGTAAAAGAGAGGCCAAGATAAGAAATCCGGCAGGATATTTTGCGTTCGACAAGTTTACTTTACAAGTAAATATTGGCGACAAATCTGGTGGCGTGTAAAACAGCCTTTTAAACAAACCTTTTATACATCACGTTTGAGGTAAAAAGTTCTAGGGGGCGCTGATTTCTTTATCATACAGACCTAGGACAGAATTTCGTTTTTTCCCTATTTAAACCTATAATTCTCCAGTTTTTCACAATTTTGCAAGACAAATTGCACTCATTCAATCAGTCAAGGACGATCGAAGCACGCGCTTCCTTTGCACAACAAATTACGGTCTAGAATTGACCACATTATAAAAAGTTTTCATGAAGAGAATTCCATAATGCAGGGACTGTTCAGTCAGGAAAATCTGCTCCTATGTGATATGCATGGTAATAAGAACATGTATGAGCTTTTAGTGAAAACGATCCAAAAAATTCCCAACATCACCTATATACGGCCAGCCGGACGTGTTCTCACTTTTACAAGCACCAAACTTCCAGTGCCGGCTGTTAGCGTTTGAATGAATACTAATAGAGTAACGTTTCAACATGATAGAGAATTTATTATTTTTAGGTTTTATTTCTCTTTATTTATGGCTTTGTTTTGTGTAATCTCTAAAAGCGTTTGATATTTACGCGCGGCATTTTGAGTACTCAGGGAGTACTCCTGCACGCCATGTTTATGTACGACTGAAAACAAGCGGCGCAGCGATCAAAATTGCAAGAGAGACTACTAACAATCAATAAAATATACATAATTAAATGAGACATGTACAAAGGCAACAAGTATACGTAATTAGAGTAAAGTGTCTCTGAAAATCATGAGTCAGGTAAGCATAAGCTTATAAACTTAAACCTTGCAGATTTATGTTTTAAGCAGGCTTCCCGGCGTTTGCTATTTTTCAAGATGAACTCGAGGCAAGAAAACAGCCAACATCATAACTAAATATTCTACGGAACGTTTTCTTTCCATTTGCGGTCAGAAAAATGTCTAAAGGCCTTTTAAAGTCCTGTAAGCTTATATCAAACGTGATATCATTGTAGGTCAGATCATGGTCTCGTGCATAAACTAGCTGGCGGCATATAAACTACACTCGACTTTAGGAAACCTGAAAAAAGGAAACATCAAATACAATAACTTCTCAAGCTTACCGGTCGAGATGCAGTTCCTGAAGGCCATCAAGTAAGGCCAGAATCGCTTGAGCCTTCAAAACCCTCTTACGCATCAAGCAACGTGAAAAACGAAAACGTTGCGATCCGAAATTGGATTTCCGAGGCGGCGCATTTCTCAACCATAAACCCAATAAACAAACCAGCCATGAATTACAGAAGAATCTTGATAGCAGCTGTCAGCTTTATTTCATTTTGTACATCTAGTGGAAACGGACAGTTAAAAACATGAAAAGATAGCGACAAAAAACTCTGTCAGCTTCAGCTATCAGAAAATAAGTTTCCACATGAACTCACCTGTCAAATTTTGACCAATCAGAGCGTAAAAGTTGGACGAGGAGCATGACTAGAGCGCGACCAGCGTGAGAAAAATCAAAAGCACCTGTCTTCCCTGCCTGCAATAAATGGCTGAATTTTCGCGTCCGAGGTCAGTTTGAAATCAAAATTTTAATAGTGCGGCTCATGAACACAACTTATTTCATATGCATTTCCAAAAAAATTGAACTTGAGCCTGCGATCATGTGCTCATTGGGTCGATACCTAAGCCCGTGGTACGGTCAGGCGATACTGGTCAGGGGATACACTGTTTTGACAGTTGTCAGTTGATCACAACATGGATTGCCACATGAATGTGCAATATCAGGCTGCAGGCTCCCAAACTAGCTAGAAAGTGTGAGATTAAACATTGGTATACCTGTGGTGCGGAAGGTCAGGCGGTCGGTGTACGGTCACGTGAATGCCAAATTTTCTAGCATGGATAGATTTTCTAAGCTATGAGGCTCCACCAAAAATACAGAATTGATCCCGTGATCAAATAAAATATCAGCGGAAAACTTAAAAAAAATACGTGACGTCAATGGGTAGAAAAATGAGCCCGTGATACAGTCAGATGATGACGGCCAGCGGATGCTCAAGTTTGTTAGCTGTCAATTGACCTTTTCTAGAATGTCAAATAGTCGAATAAAGGGACTGTCGACTGCGAGTATGAGAGAGAGATTTCAGTCCGGCTTGTAGTGACGAAATGCCAGATCGTGTACCTGAGCCTACGCTGCTGCGTCATGACCAAATTTTCTTGCATCCATAGGTTTCCAGTAGACCTTAGGCCTTTTTACCGATACGGGGCCATATTGAATGAGTTATATTTAAGGAGTATTATGGGATGCCCAGGGGGCATGAGCACATTGCATAATTTTTTAATATCTAATACTAAGCGAGTACGACGGATCTTACTTCTGTCCCCCTGGGCATCCCACAATACTCCTTAAATCGAATTAATTTAATATGGCCGCCGTATCGGTAAAAAGGTCTAGTTGTCTTAGAAAAGGGGCTCAGCCGCGCGTGCTTCACGCGCGCGGAAGCTTCGCTATTACATTCGTCCCAAGAGAAATCGAAAACAATAGCTATGCAAAATTTTGGGGGGTAAACAAGGTGCATTAGGGCCTACGTGAAAATGGTGAAATGTTTGGTGGTCACTCAAGCAAATCATTGCAGTGAGTTTCGTATGACCAAATGAACCATTGGGCAAACACTGCACTAGAATAAAAAGAGAAAAAGAAAAAAGTACAGCTTGGAAATCTACTCAATCCAGACAATAACGGTCTTACCTAAGCAAAAGAAGCGAGACCTTAAACATCTTTATATTTTACACAATATTTACAAATGATTTATCTTAATTGCCGTCAGTGACATAAGAAAAACGATTCATAAATAAACGCTGATTAAAAAATGCTAAACCGAATAAGTACGGTGATGTATGACATTTGTGGGAAATGTTAAGAGGCAGCAGAGGAAGAGGTAGACAGCAGCACTGGTAAGATTTCCTCTTCTCTCTCCGAAAACTAGTGTGGGGTTTTTTACGTCCCTTTGCGTTAACTGATGAAGGAAGGATGAAGAAGACAAAGCCAACGGCTTAACATTAGGGAGCTTAAGCAACGACGGTGACGGCTACAAAAACCAAAAAGTGAATCCGCGCTGCCTGAAACGCTATCGCGCTTATTCCATCTGGTTCAGTTCGTCAAATGTTGGCATTTTTTTTTACAGTTAAATTCTAAAAGACTTTATCGAGTTTCAGGAAAGGAACAAGGAAGTCGTTTTGTGTTCACGTCCCCCACAGGGACCGCGGAGGGGGAGGGGCTGGTAGGGCCGCGGCCCCACCACTTTTTTGCGCCCGCTCCCCCACTTTTTGCGCTAAAAAGAAAAATAATTAAAATAAAAAAAAGACTTGAAACAAGTTTTTTTCCGTCTATATTCCGCTATATTCTCTGTATTTTCTTTAATATCAAACGCCAGGCATTTTGTGGGGCTCCTGTGCTTTTCGCGGTAATTGTGCCCTGGGGCCGACTTACCCCTTGATCAAACGCCATGCCTTGGCCACCCCTTCGCTTCGTTCGGCAGCGTGTTTTGTACTTCCAGCTCCGGCAGAGTTTTTTTTATCAGTTTTATCAAGACGAAATGAAGAAAATTACTAGCTTTTTCAAGCCAAACGAAGGTGAGTAGGTGTTTTGAGTTGAAAAAAGTTTTATATTTTGTCTTTCTGAAATATTCGATTGCAAGAAGAATTACATTACTTGAACAGCGAACGGCCATAGTTAGAAATTTTTCAGATCACTTCAGTGCAGTATTTGTATACTAAAATTGTAATCGCGTCTTTTCTCGCATTGAATCTGAACTGACCGTGGATGTTGGTCGTTTATTAGAGTTATCTGGGACTTCGTCAAAGTCTGTAAGCTCTGCAGAAAAGTATGCAAAGTCACGCGACAGAAACAAATCAGATACTAGGATTTTATTCGTTTTTTCGATTTTCAATATGAAAAAATTATTTTCAATTGTCAGCCCTCCCACTTTTCACCTTGCTCCGCGGTCCCTGCCCCACAATACATGAAATTAAGAAGTATCACGTCGTAGTCGTGGAGTGACGCCAAAAAAATGTACAAAAAAAGTGTGATGCAAGTGCGTGCGGAGTTATTATTTTGCTCATCTACTCCTATTGCTTTTTTGCCGTCCTCGTTGCCGTCACCGTCGTCGTTGCTTTTATCAACCCTATGACGCGAACTTAGCTCCTGAACTGAGACAAGATCCCAAGCACCGTTTATATAGAGAAAAGTAGTCCCGGGAAAGAGGGGCACCCTCTCAGCCGCGTCAACCGTAGCAAGCACTGTTATGAGAAAAAATTGGCCCATTAGCCTTAGCCAAGACTTGAGAAGAGCATTCGCGCATGCTTTAATTTTCTGGCGTTGACCCAATTTTCCCGGGTGGGCGAGCCAGATTAAATGTTTATGTGCCGCAGAGACGTTGGCCTGGCTAAGACGGTGACCCAACATCGAGAAAGGGTGACCCAGTCAGGCGGGTCACCTATCTATCGGAGCCAACGTTTTGTTTCTCGTGTGAACATTTTGCCACTTTTTGTAAAGAAATGTAAGAAAAGTTAAACGGGGCCTTAAACACAGCCAGCATGATATTACCAGAATCTCGCCAAGGTTTGAACTTGGGCCTCCCACTCAGCAGAGGGGTGCTTTTTTGAACTGAGCGAACTGGGCTTCGTCAAGCAATTTACATGAACCTAATGCTTCTTGCCTTTCTCATTTTCACGTACCCTCAGGGACTCCCCCTAAAAAACGAGAACCAAATGCTTACTGTCTTTCTCGTTTTCTTCACGTACCCTCAGGACTCTGCCCAATAATACCATTATCACAGTTGCCTCTCATTTCTGATTAAAACTGAAAAACAAGTAGTCTCTTTTTTGCTTACCACTTTGTTTACAGGTTTCCGACGAGGAGTCTTTTTGGCGGGCTCCTCAAGATTTCCTTCACTCTAGAAGAAGAGGAAAAGACGTACAGATTTTACTACAGCCAAATCTTTACGGCTAAGGCTACATGAATACCCAAACGGTATTGCACTGGGGTGGCAAAAATTATGATCGTATTGAGAAGTTGTTCGCCTTATATAAGGGGTCCAAGACAGTATTGGATTCTGGATTCCACACCGTGGATTCCGGATTCTTTATCAGAGGGACTAGGATTCCGGATTTCACCAGCAAAAATTTCCAGGGTTCCGAATTCCACCAGCAAAAATTTCCCGGATTCGAGAATCCGGATTCCCTTACTTCGGGCCATGTTGTAATACGACCCTAATTCATTTTTAATTGGTTACCTGCATGGCAATCGGGAAATGTGTCACAGATGGTTCTCCGTGCTCTCTGGCCACTGGAACCATGATCACAGAAGGCCGATACTCATTTAAAGCAGGAAGTGGAGATGCGAGGTGGCAAACACACGGACAATTGGTGGGGCATTCCTGGCCATTATGGTCACTGTTACTACTATCAGTTGGTATTAGAAAACTGATTGCTTCTTCCTTAAGGCTGCTCAAGCTATTGAGTTCCTCTTCTGGAGCCTCTTCTTTAAGGGAAGTGAGCTCAGGTCTTAGCTCTGAAGAAACACTCATTGTGTCCTGCTCGAAAGCTGGAGATGGACTGGGGTGACTCATCTAAATTGATCCAAACAGTAATTAACATAGACATGGGTAGATTCATCTCTCCAGTAAATGTAAACATTAGAGCGAACTTTTAAGCACCCCCATGTGGATATACTTGACTCGATTTTAGGTATACAGGTGGCACTGAGAATTGAGAGTTAAATACCACGACCGTGGAAAAATTTACAACAGTGTTTAAGAACAGCTGACATAGACGAAATTGAATTTAGGATATACTCATTCAGTGATCTTAGTTTTTCATGCAATCGGACTGGTGTGCTATCTCAGACTATTTTAAAAACCATTGTTCCAGGAGCGAGCGTTCGATTTGAAATGGTATATTGGCGATACAAGCTTCTCATATCCAACAAGCGTGAGTGGAATAATTGTTTTATCATTAACACCCAGAAAATATCGATGAACCTTCCAACTATACAACTCTATTTTGTTAAAGCAAACCAGAAACGAACAAGGGACTTCCGCTTCTTACATGTCACAAGCCGCGTACATCAAAACTGTCACAAAACTGTCAACAAAACTTTGTAGCGTTGAACACTTTCAAAATTCACCAGGATTCTAGGATTTTACTCTGCTGGACAGCTACAAATCGCAGACAATGTGAACAAAAAAACTTTTTGGTGAATTAGGATCTTTACAGTGTCCTTAGTGCAGTTACAAACTAAAATTCCCTCGGTCGCCGTTCAGCAAATCTTGTTTCTAAAAATGTCAGAAGAAGCCAGTAGATTTTGCCGAACGAGAAGAGAAGCTATATTTACACCTGGATTGAATGGAATGGGTCTATATCTTGTATTTTCAGCTACTTGCTGTTGGTTGAATTTTATTTTGTCCAAGAGAGGATAAAGGGGACAGAGAAGCCATCCCCCATACACACCCTATTCCATAGGTAATTCGTCTCGAGTTATTTTTAACTCCACAGATCTCAAGGGGGATTAGACAACAGCCAATCACATAGCGCGATTGTGTTCCGCGTGGATGACCCACGCTCAGAGGCACGCATCCTTCTCGAATTGACGCAGAACAAAATGACGGAAGACGCGGAGAGCGATATTGCTATTCCTTTTGTCGACGAAAACGACTACAGAGAGATTTCTGCTAAAGCTGTGTCAGCGAAACGGAAATTAAAAAAGAATCGCCCTTACTCTCTTGTATAGAGCTAACAGTACAGCAGGGAAATCCTTAACACACTGAATATTCTCTCAGAATCATTTATAATTTACAGTTTGAAGAGGGCAATTTCTGGTTTGATATTTATTCTTTTATTAGTCTTTTATTATTCAACAACAATAACACATGGCGTCCCACTTGCTTTATTGTACAAACGACCAGTTTCAATAGACCGGCGCAATTTCTCATTTTATTAAAGTACTGAGGTTACGACAACTTCGAGTTAAACTGATTTCACGGGTTGTCAAAAAGTCCAGCGATTCCCTTTTCCCAGGTGAGCGCCGACTAATTTCGCTTCAAAATTCAGGAATGCTCTCGATCTCTTTACGCTTTCATTGCCTTTCGCCCGACATGTTTTGCACGGCGTTTAGTCATGCGAAACCTCCACGAAACATCCACGCAGCGCGCGAGGTAACTTTATCCCGATTCTAAAAATAACTCGAGACGAACTATCTATGGAATAGGGTGTGTATGGGGGATGCCTTCTCTGTCCCCTTTATCCTCTCTTGATTTTGTCGGATGAACATTTTGGCGAGTGGTTTTGCTATCAGGAAGAACCGACGTTCGTCTTCTTTCGTAGCTGGTCAAGGTATTTTTCAAAATTTATTATGTGTTTTTTCGGTGAATTGTCAAAGACAGTTCATTCCATACTATTCATTACAAGCCGCAGGCTCGATTTTCGGGGGATTGCGACGTTCAGCGTCGCAATCTTCGCATATTTCTGAAGGGCGAGGCGCCAAGTCTATTGTTTTGAACCAAGGGTTATATTACATCAAGAGACCCTGAGCCTGTCTTAAAGCTGTCAACAATGTTCGTTTTATTGAGTAATCTTTCATCTTCGACACTTAATCCACTTTATCTTAAGTGGACACCCAACCTAGTTGCTATTCACGTGCACTGTCGAAAGCATAATATCAAATAGCCTTCAAAAATTCTGCATTGGAGCTTCACTCTTCGCCTTTAATTTTAGCCGACCCACTCAATAAACAATAAATAAGAACAATATTACCGAGAAATAATTACAACTGAGAACTTGATGAATAAACAATGAAAACAACAACTCAGTTATCTCTCAGGGATATCACCCGCCAAAGCGGATACCCGCGAGGTTTGTTCGGTTTCAACATAGACGGAGGAAATTTTTACATCGCTAGTATAAATCTGGCCTAATTGTCACATTTGATCGAAGAGAGATATTTACGCAAAAAAAACTATCACAGTTCACAAATGATTTAGACATTATCTTAATATTTTACCTTAAACTGTCGAAATTAAAGTATTGCCGCCCGCAGACAAAACTAGCTTTTTTTCGGGTTTCCGGTGTACATCAAACACAGGCATCACGCTGAATATTATCCAGACTGAGAGCAATAGATCAGAAAAAAAATCACAATTACTAAATTTCGCTTTGGAAACCAACACCACTTGTCGTAAGATTGGGCGCATCGCATAAGAGCTAAAGACTTAAGAGGGAGAGAAAATAAAAATCTACTGAATTATATACACTAACAAAAACAAAATATGAACAAAAACAACAACTCTGTAACGACTAGCTAAAACACGATCGATTCAAGCTGTGACTTACTTTATACTTTATCACAGCTTCTTAAGAATCGGCACGCTGCCTGTAAGCCATTAGGAAGAGGAGAGAAAAATCTACCGAATTATACAAACTAAAGCAATGTAAAAAAGCTGCATTTACTAGCTAAAACACGATCGATTTTAGCTA